GCTGTCCACTTCTGAGGGATTAGCCACTGAAAACTTATGATCACATAGTTGTAAGGAATTACAAATCAAAACAACAAATGCCACCCAAAACCCAAAGACTCACTGCCATTGAGTTGATGCTGCCTCACTGTGACCCTATAGGACGGAGAAGAACTGTGCCTGTGAGTTTCTGAGACTGTGACTCTTTAAGGGAGTACAGAGTCCATCTTTCTCTTGAGGAGCATTGGTGGTTTAAAGCTGCTGACCTGTTAGCAGATCAACACATAACCACTACACTGCCAAAGCTCCCTGGACAAGTGTCACTACATACCTACTAAAATGGCTAAAACCCCAAACACTGAAAATATCAAATTCCAGTGAGGAGATGGAGCAACAAGTATTCTTAAACCGTTGCAAGTGGGAATGGAAAATACTACAGCCAACTCATATTATAGGCTTATCAAATTTTATTTTTCCTTTTCAAAAAGCAACACCAAAACATGATTAATAAAACACATTAAAAAGAGGCGTATTATACATTTAACAATTAAAAAATGGCTAAAGTCAGTCAGGTTGCAGTGCAGCAACGATGAAACATACAACTTTCCTCTAGTTCCTAAATGCTTCCTCCCCCCAACTATCATGATCCCAATTCTACCTTACAAATCAGGCTAGACCAGAGGATGTACACTGGTACAGATAGGAACTGGAAACACAGGGAATCCTGGACAGATGAACCCTTCAAGACCAGTGGTGTGAGTGGCAATACCAGGAGTGGGGAGGGAAGATGGGATAGAAAGGGGAAACCGATTACAAGGATCTACATATAACCCCCTCCCTGGGGGACGGACAACAGAAACGTGGATGCAGTTTGTAGTTTCTTGATATGTTATTGCAGTTCTCAATGTGTTATTGAAACAAAATATAGTTACAACATACAAATCAGGAATCGTGGTCTTAGGTATAAACCAAGGAGTTAAATATGTACGTCTACACAAAACCTGAAAATAATATTTATAGCAGCTTTACTTGTAATTAATTCAAACTTACTCTACTCATAATTGCTTGGTTAGAAATAGAACGTTTTTTACTCTTCATGGACACTGAAGAGCAGCCTGGCATAAGCCAGGGGCTACACCTGAAGGACTTAACATAGAGGGCTGGCATAATGAACTGATCCTTGCCTCAAAGGCGACTCTTCCCTTGTACTGAGGACTGGGGTACTCGGATGGGAGAGAAAGTAGAGAATGACTACCTGGACCTGTGGAAATGGTGATCCTTAGACATTGAGGGGAACCCCAGTTTGGTGGGAATCCAATGGAAAGGGGCTCAGAGTCACCATGTATTCAGTACCTTGATGCCCTCTTGCAGTGACATGACAGGTTTTGATCTATTGGGCATGAATCTGAACTTAGAAGAACTGATCCAGGAAGTTTCTCCCTGGCACCAATCCCCAAGTTTAGGGTAAAGAGAGCTCAACGGCATGGGAGATGGGACTGTGTGGAGCAACAACTCCTGGGATGCAGCTCACAGTGGAGCTGTACTCCTTCTGCTGACAGTGTCCAGAGTGCTGTGTCACTGGAACACTTGATGATGCTACCAGTGAAATTGCGTTAGACCCCAGGGGGATGATTGACAATGTTTTACTTTGCTGTCTCTGTTGGTTTTTGTTTTCCCGGCTTTAGTTTGCCTGTTGTTTGTTTATTTGCCCCTAGTGTTCTGCTAGTTGGTTTGTTGCTGTTGTTGGGATTGTTGGTCTTATGGGGTTTTGATTTTGTCATAATACGACAGCCAAAGTAACCCTCAGTCATGCATATCCCAAAGACAAGCAGATGGATTCTGGACCCCCATTTAACTCTAGCCCCAATCCAAGAACAGGTAGTTCTGATAACATGGTCCTGCTCCATAGTCACCTTAATGAAATAACCACTGAAGGGTGCTACAATAAAGCTTGGTAAAGAGAGCAGATGGTGCCCAGCTATCAATAAGAATAGTGTCTGGGCCCCTAAAGTCTTGTATTCAAACAAGCAGCCAATGAAGCAAGGAGTCAACTACGTCCTCATGGAAGAAGTCTACCAGCTTGTGTGATCCAAAGATGACAATAACAAAATTCAATATGATGAAGGGAAAAGTATCAGAACCAAAATTATGAATACCAAATTCGTAGAAGTCTATGGAAGACAGTGTGAACCCAAAACCCATCTGCCAAGTTTCTAGTCAGATTAAACCCCTAGAGGTTCCCCTCTAGCCACAAGCAAGGGTTTAAAACAGCGTTACTATCAGATAGAGACCAGTCTAGTCATGATTATGTTGGATTAAACTTGATACTTGGTCAGTCGGCCTTCTTCTTGACCCAACTAGAAATTCTTCTATGTGCATTTCTTGCTTGTTTCATGACAAAAATTTCATCCCTGGCTTTTTAAATACTGATAGTGGTCTTTTCTTTTTTACTCATTATTTGATTTTTATCTTTGTATTATTATTTTATCATTACCACTTTATTTTGTTTCTGTTGGGTTTTCCAGTTTGTGAAGCACAAAAGGAGTAGATGCATAGAGACACGAACTGATGCAAGGGTTTATAGGGGAGGTGGGAGTGGGGGCTAGGAAATAGGGAAAGTGAAGGAGTTTGGGGAGCAAACAGTGTATAACTGATGGTGTTTACAGAACTCATTTTAAAAGGATTTAACCATGGGGTAAAAAGTTCTAAAATTGGAGTAATGATTGCACAATTCTTGATATGATTGAAATATTGAATTGTATGATATATGAATTATGTGCCAAGAAAATGGTAAAAAGAAAAAAAGAAACTCATTCATCGATGAGTGGATAAACAAGTCAAGGTACATCCCTCATTGCTGTGTTCTTGTATGCTATTGAACCTATTCTGACTCAAAAGCTGCTCAAGATGACAGTAGAACTGCTTCATGGGATTTTCTTAGCTGACGTCTTAATGGGAGTGATTGCCAAGTCTTTTTGTTTCTTGGAATGACTAAGAAGTTCAAACCACCAACCTTTCAGTTAGTACTGAACCACTCCGTGGCGCACTCCCTAGGTGCTGTGGTATGTTATATAATGGAATATTATTCAGTGATAAAAAGGTTAGGAGCTATTAAGCTAAAAAGAAATGGAAGAACTTTAATTGCATATTGGAAAGTAAGGGAAGCAAGTACAAAAGAGCTACATACATACTACATATATATGATTCCACATATGAGGGGTTATAAAAAGTTTGTAAATAATGGAATTTTTCCACAAGCTTTTTAAAACCCCTTTGTATATGACATTACGGAAAAGGCAAATTTAAAGATAATGTACGAAATAAATTATATCCATGGACCCATTGCAGGGAGGGGAAATAATGAAAAAGAATCATCTTGTTCATTTAAATATGAGAGGGTTTCAAAAAGTGTCAATGACAAAAAGGCCAACAAAGAATGTGACCGGTTAAGAATATTCCATGTTTGGCTCAGTGGGATCAGCAGACTTAACTAAAAATGTCCTATATAGACAAATTGACAACCGCAACCATGTCAACACTTTGAAGCATATACAATCTAAGAAGCATGAACTATTGAAAATTTGAATTTCTGATAAAATCAGTGATAATAGTTGGTGTTTTGACTTGAGGCTACATCCATCTGCCTCCTTTCTAATTTAGATAATAAAGAGATTCTCTTGCGATGGGGAAGGCAATGGATCGGATAGGCAGCTTCCCTGGCACACTGAAAAGAGACACCCATACATATTGGTGTGAGTGATGGCAATCTCAGAGGCAGCGGGGTGGGGTGGCTCAAAAATTCTTCTATCGCTGTAGTCAAGAACAAACATAATTTGATTTGAACCTGTGTACATTTACAGAGATGAATGGGAAAGGATCAAGCCACCCACACGATACTGGTCAATGCGGAGGATGCACCTGTATGCATACAAAGCTGAAATTATCCAGCAGAGATGAAAAACCATGGCATTAAAAAAAATGGTCTGAACTCAAAGACAAATCCATGAAGAATGAGCCGATGCCCGGTTACCTCATACTGATTGAGTATAACTAATATTTGTGTTGAATGGTTAGTCAAAGTTATACTGACACCAGGCTTTCAAAAGGTACTAAATTCAGGCTTTAGAAGTACAATACCCTCCTCCTCTCTGGGGGATGGGCAACAGAGGGGTAGGTGAAGGGAGACGCCGGGCAGTGTAATATAAGAGATAATAATAATTTATAAATTATCAAGGGTGCATGGAGGACGGGGGGCAGAGGAAGGGAAGGGGAGGGGGGGGAAAGGAAAATGAGCTGATTCTGGGAACCCAAGAGGCAAGCGAATTTTGGGAATGATGATGGCAACAAATGTATAGATGTGCTCTACACAATTGATCTATGTATTGTGATGAATTGTATGAGCCCCAATAAATTGATTTAAAAAAAAAAAAAAGAAGTACAATTTCCCCCCCCCAGTTTTTCTTAAAGTCAACAGCCATTAGCAATGATGCCATTTGGGAGGTCAGATACCACACATTTAGTCCGCAAAATAACAAAACAAATAATTCAATTGAATAGTAAAGAAGAAATAGCATAAATCGTAAATTTTTAAAAATTTTGAAATAGAAGACAGGATGAATCCCAATTCGTTTTATGTGTATAAAAGGGAGGAAGGAAAAACGAAGCACCTTTTGAAACCCAAAGGACGTTTGTTTATCTGTGACTCAGTGGCATGAAGGCAGACCTGCCAAATATTCCAAACAAGATCGCTGACAATCCACTCAGTGCATAGCACCAGATTCAGCAGATCTTTCCTCCAAGTCAAATGTAAGTACTGCCCCGCATAATTCAAAGATAATTGGGCTTTCCTTCAATATTCAGTTATTCTTACCCTCTGAAATTCTTACCGTCTGAGGGGCATTGTGAGGCCCATAATGTTTGGGGACTATAACCAGGGAAAAAAACTATTTCCAGAGAAGAGAGGAAAACTGAAGTCTGCATTTTCCCCGAATCTCAGATGTGGTAAGAACCTCCTGACTTACCTGCAGCATCTCTACTGTTGATGCTTCCAGTCGACGCTCCATATCTGAAATGAGGTTTCCCACCAACTGGCTCTGCTGGACCAGTTCCTGCTCACCCTTATCTAGTTTCTGCAGACAATCCTCCTCCTCTTTCTGCAGCTTTTGTAGCTCCTTCTGCTCCTCACTGTCCAAGATAACTCTCAGGCGATTAAATTCCTTTTGGACAGTAGTTATTTCAGTCTGTATCTGACTCTTCAAGGAGGAGAAACAGAGAGGTAGTAAATCAATTTGGCAGAGGGCTTACTTTGCAAGGGTATGGAAGTCAGGAAGATGCCTATTTTCCTTTGTATGAATGAAGACGGCACTGTTTTCTGCTGTTCTTTCCCAAGATTTAGCTAGGATTCCACTGCAGCAAGTCAATTCTGGCTTACAGTGACCCGAAAGACCAAGTAGTATTTATCCCTTGGGTTTCTGGGACTATACCTTTATGGGAGAAAACAGCCTGATCCTTCTCCCTAGGAGTAGCTGGTGGATTCATATTGCTGACCTTGAGATTAGCACTTCAATGTGTATCCCACCACAACCCCGGATTACCTTCAGCTTGGACATGGTGTATAAATAGGAAAGTAAAGGAGACATGATCATTCCTATGGGGTTGATGTTCTTCTAGAATTATTTTCTTTGTAGAGAGATGGAAACAGGGAACAATTCATGAGTTCTGTTTTATGCTTTCCCCCCTCATACTCCAAAACAATGACTACTGTCCAGCTTTCCTGAGGCCCACGCTAAGCCAAAATGAAACACCCAGGTGAGGTTTAGCTTTCAGACTGCTGTTGAACACAGTCATGTCTCCCTCAGAAGAATCACAACCTCACAGGGTGACTCGCTGTCTGCCATCCAGTGAATTCCTTCTCTATCAACCCTACAGAACAGAGTAGAACTACCTCCTTGGGTTCCTGAGGCTTCAAATGTTCCTGAGGCTTTCTCCCTCCAAGTAGCTAGTGAGTACAAATCACCAATCTTATGGGAAGTAGCTCAGTGCCTAACTCATGACACCCTCAGGGGTCTCTGCACAGTTTAACAGTCATGGACAGAGCATTCCCTGGGCTTCCACACTACAGTTTGTGCTGTTAGGTGCAGTTGAGTTAGCTCTGACTCAGAGGGACCTCATGAATAACACCTGGTCCTACAAGATCCTCACAATTGTTCTCCTGTTTAAGGCCATTGTATAAATCCATCTCATCCAAAACCTTCCTCTCTTTTTGCTGCACCCTCCAATTTACCAAGCATGATGTTCTTCTCAAGGACGGGTCTCTCCTGATAACTTATCCAAAGCATAGGAGGTCAAATCTCCCATCTGGTTTCTAAGGTGCATTCTGGCTGTACTTCTTTCAAGACTTACCTACTGACTCCTTTGGCAGTCCATAGTACTGTCCCTATTCTTTGTCAACACCATAGTTCAAATACATCATTTCTTCTCTGATCTTCCTTATTCAGTGACCAACTTTCACATGGATATAAGGCGATTGAAAACACCATGGCTTGGGGCAGGCACACCTGAGTCCTCAAAGAAACCTTGCTTTTCAAAACTTTAAAGAAGTCTTGTGCACCAGATTTACCCAATGCAATGCGTCATTTGATCTCTTGACTGCTGCTTCTGTGAGCATTGATTTTGGGTCCAAGCAAGACAAAATCCTTGACAACTTCAATCTTTTCTCAGTTTACCATGATGTTACTTTTGGTCCAGTTGTGAGGCTTTTGGTCTTGTTGACATTGAGTAGTAATCCGTACTGAAGGCTGCAATCCTTGATCTTCATCAGCATATGCTTCAAGGGATCCTTACTTTCAGCAAACAAGGTTCTATCATCTGCATATCTCAGGTTATTAACAAGCCTTCCTCTACTCCTGATGCCACATTCTTCTTCAGATAAACCAGCTTCTCTGAAGATTTGCTCAGCACACAGATTGAGTAAGCAAGATGAGAGGGTGCAACCTTGACATACACATAGTTCTGTTTGCAAAACTGCCTCTTGATCCATGTACAAGTTCCACATCAGTACAACCGAGTGTTCTTGAATTCTCATTCTTCTCCAAGTTACCCATCGTTTATGATGGTCCACACAGTTGAATTGCTTTGCATAGTCAATAAAGCACAAGTAAACATCTTTCTCGTATTCTCTGCTTTCAGCCAAGTTCTATCTGACATCAGCAATGATATCCCTTGTTCCATGTCCTCTTCTGAATCTGGCATAGGCCTTCTAGAATTTCCTATAATCTCTACAAGGACAGATACTCAGATACTTTCTCCTGCAGAGTGACTGGTGGGCACAAATGGCCGACTTTTCAGTTAATAGCCATGCAATTAAGTACTTATCACAAATGCTCCTAGATGAAGAGGAGTAATCACACGCATTTCATCGAGACTCAATATTAGGGACTAAAGAGGCAAAACGAAGAAGGGGTGCATCTGGATTATGGTTCTGACAAAGACTATGGAAAGGACCACAGACTGCCAATAGAACAAACAAATCTGTCTTGGAAAAAGTATACTCAGAATGCTCCTTAGAAGCAAAGATGGCTATATTTAATTTCACGTACTTTGGAAGTTATCGGTTATAAGGAGAGACCATTCTCTAGAAAAGCACAAGGGCAGTGAAAAAGAGGCAGATCCTTGACAAGGTGGATTGACAGAGTTGATTACAACAATGGGTCAAACATAACAACGGTGAGGGTGTCAGGACTGGGTTATGCTTTGTTCTCTTGTACATAGAGTTGTTATGTCTCAGAGCGGACTCACTGGCACCTACCAATAAGAACAGAGTAAAGTTCAAAGACTCCACCCAGGACACGCTAAAGAGGGATCTTCTACCTTCAAGCAAGCCTTCTCTTCTCTAATGTCATTTTTCAAATCCTCAGCTTTCTCTTGCTCCTTCTTCAGCCTTGCCAGAGCCTCCTCGAGTTCCACCTACAAAAACAGAACCGTGCCAGAAACAAGCTGTGAGATATCTTACTATTTAGATGGAAGATAAATCAAGACCAAGAACTGGCTGCTGTCAGAAGAGTAGGCTTTGTAGAAGCTCTGAGGCTGGTCCTTGGAGTCTGTGACTTAGAAGAAAACGTGAGGATAGAAGTGTGATGAAATAAAGTCACTTTATTTGGGAAGTGGATCATTACAAATGCCATTTGGTTAAAATTTAACACCTTATCATTTGATCTCCCTTTTGACCCATTTTAAATTTGTTCTAGATTTTAATATTTCCTGCTTTCTTTTTGATTGAGGTTTTTCTCTGTTTTACTTGGTTTTGTTGTTATTTATTTTTATTTTTGTTGATTTTTTTCATATATATGTATTTTAAATAAATCTTCTTATTGGGGACTCTTACAGCTTTTATAACAATCCCTACATCAATTGTATCTAGCACATTTGTACATATGTTGCTATCAACATTTCCAAAACATTTTCTTTATACTTGAGCCCTTGGTATCAGCTCCTCTTTTTACCCCTTTCCACCCTCCTGAAAATTTATAAATTATTTTATTTTCATATTTTACACCATCTACTGCCTCCCTTCACCCATGTTTCTGTTCTTCATCCCCCTGAGGTGATCATCGCGATCGGTTCCCCCTTACCCTCATGGTATTGCTACTCTCATTGTTGGTTAGTCCTGAAGGCTGATATTTTTCTGTATATGAATTTCTCATGACCATTCACAACCATCAAGTCCACACCAACTCATAGTGACCCTATAGGACTACGGAGAATTGTCCCTAGTGAGTTTTGGAGATTGTAACTCTTTATGGGAGTAGAAAGCCCCATCTTTCTCCCATGGAGCAGCTGGTTGTTTCAAACTACTGACCTTGGAGTTAACAGCCCAATGAGAAATCCCTATGCCACAAGGGAACTCTACGAAATCCAGGATAGGTAAACTAATAGAGACAGTGACTGGTTAATAGTTCCTTTGGGATATTGTAGGGGAGGTTGGGGCGGGGGGGATGAGGAGCTAATAAAAATGAGAACAAGAAAGAAGAAAATGTTCTAAAATTTATCATGGTGATAACTATACAACTTTTCTTAATATGATTGAACTACTGAATTTTGTATGTGAATTTTATGTCAATAAAAAAGCTTTTTAAAAAATAGCCTTAATTTCTCTAGTTCTTCGGAAAGAACTCAGTCCTACAGCAAAGATAGTCCTTTTCTCTTAACTCACCATGCTCCCCCGCTGCTCTCCAACTGGGCTGATCAAAGTTTAATCTGGTCACCAAATCATCCCCCATGCAACAGGAGGCACAAATTTATTCACATCTGTATAAGAGTCTACCTTCTAGGCTTAGCCATTGTGTAAATAGCTGGAATACACATTAAAAATTAAAACAAAACTTCAGGCTCCCAAAACTAACATTAGTGTTTTGAAAGAAAGACTCATATAGATTATGAAAAAGTAAATAAAGTAAGGTGGAAAGTGGAGATTGCTATTAGGTATCATTTTCTATATTGTCATCTTCTATCCTAGCCTCTCACCTTGTAGTCCTGGGCAACCTCCTCGACAAGCAGTGTTTTGTGCCCTTTGTGTTCCTGAGACCGTTCACAAAGCCAGCATATAACCACTCCATCATTTGAACAGAAGAGTAGGAGTTTCTCTCCATGACGCTCACAGACATGTTTCTGCCCCTCCTCCGTGTGCTCCTTGACCTCCCTGAATCTTGCTACTATGTTGGCCAGATGTCGATTAGGACGTAGGTTGTTAGGCTGGTATCTGCTTCGGCACATAGGACAGCTGTTCTCGTCCTCTGAGCTGATTGTAGACTTCTGGCTGTTCATGGTGAGGCAGGCTTGGCAGAAGCTGTGGCCACACTCGAGGCTCAGAGGTTCCGTCAAGAGCTCCAGGCAGATGGGACAGGTGACTTCTTCATACAGGTTTACCAGGATCTCCGATGCCATTGCTATTTTCTGCTGACGCAGCTCTGGAGGATCTTCTTGCTCAGACTACTTGTAATTCGGCTGGTGAGCAAGACAGATTAAGAAATGCAAGAATATGGATGTGGCTGTGTAGAAATCAAAGGTCAGACAGTACTGATATGCTATGATATGAAAAAGAGAAGAGAAACAAAGGATTCAGTCATCTGGGCTTAAAAGACTTTGAATAATAATTTCAAATTGTTTACTCCCAATTCTTGTCACATGACAAATTTCATCTTTTTTGTTCAAGGATTCTTATTTTCCTTTAGTCTTAGCAATCATATCAATCTGTTGGTATTTCACATGACAAGCACATCTTCAATAAAAAGCAGGCACCATACCCACTGATGTCTCAGGGCTTTCTACACTTTCTCATTACTAAGCATCAAATGGTTAGCCTGTACCAGGGGTTCAAAAGGTCCATGGAAAATTCCATGATCTTTTAATCCCATTTCTGCATGAACTTTTTGAAGGCCGATCATATTGCTAGTTCTTATACTACCCTCAACTCTCCATTTCTAAGTCCTCTCATCAGAGGGATTCACTCTCACTCTCTAAAACATATCCAATTTCATGACTGGCCACATATTTGCTATGACTTCCCTTATTTTCACTACACAATAAACTTAGTTGTCCACTCCACATACCTGGACCACCAGGTCCACAATATACTTTTCAGCCTCTCCTTCATGCGTAGGGCTCAGTGTGCCCAGCATTAATAGCCAAGAGGATAACTTTTTTGGCTAACACATTACCAATCATTTTTTTGTAACATAAGACCATTTTAATAACCTACCCCTAATCAAATATCTTTCTAATATATAATTTCTTCAGAAAAATCTCATGTTAGCTCCCTTCAAATTAGGTCACCTGTGTTTCTTGGTGGGATTCTGGGAATCTCTCCTTCCTTGACCTTTCTTAAATTACTGTGCTACCTTTAGCCTCCAGCAGGTAGCTCTCACCTTCTCTACACACTACCAAGACATCACTCCTCTTGTTCCATCCATGCCACCCAGAGTGAAGCCTATTGTTTTGACAATGCTCGAGGCCAGCTTGTGCTACACCCTCCTCACTGACAGTCACGCACTATCAATGGGTCACTCCTCTTCTCACGTCTATGCCATCAGAATGAAGCCTGTTTTTTGGCTCTCCCTCCTCCACCACCACCACCACTTCAGCTCCCTGAGTCCACTTCCTGCTTCTCTCCTCGCACACTCTTATGGAACCCACACTGGACTCTGAATGCTCGTGGATCACTCTGGGCAAAATTCCATGTTTGAGCTTTCAAACCCTTCCTGGAAGACAGTTCAAAATAATCTTCTCCTTGAGACGTCATCTGAGAACTATTAAAACTGTCCAAGCCACAACATATGTACAAATGTGCTTGATATAATGGATAGATGTATGAATTGTGATTAAGAGCTGTAAGAGCCCCCGGTAAAGTGCTTTAAAGAAAGAAAGTCGAAACCCTTTACCAGGTATTATAGGTTCCTTGCCTTCATCTAATCCTTTGGTTCTATTACTGTTGTTAATGTATCCCATAAAAATTGTTACCATTTTCCCTGACTTGTGATTGTGGCAGTCATTGAATTTGGAGGGGAACCCCCTGATTGGTGGGTGTCCAATGGAAAGGGACCCAGAATCACCATCTATCAAGTGACTCAGTCGATGGCCCCCTCACAGAGACATGACAGATTTTGATTTGTTGGGTAGGGGTTTGAACTTGGAAGAACTGATCCAAGAAGTTTCCCCCTGGCACCAATCCCCATGCTTAGGGTACATGGAACTCAATCAAAGGGGAGATCGGACTGTGTGGAGCAACAACTCCTGGGTGGCGGCTCACCGTGGAACTGTACTGGCATAGTCTCCTCCCACCTACAGTGCCCAGAGTGAATGGAATATTATGCTACAAGTGCAAATCACCTTATACCCCAGGGGGATGATTGACAATGATTTACTGTTCTGTTTCCATGGGGTTTTTGTTTCCATGCCTTTAATTTTCTTGTTTGTTTGTCTCTAGTTTTCTGCTAGTTGATTGTTGCTGTTGTGGGGGTACTTATGGGGTTTTGAATTTGTCATAATTTGACCGCCAAAATAAATCTGAGTCACGCATATCCCAGGAACAAACAGATGGAGTCTTTGCCCCAAATGAACTTTAGTCCCAATCCAAGAATAGTTAGTTCTGATAACATGGCCCTGTTCGATACTCACCTTCATGAAATGATTACTGAAGATAAGGGTGCATCAGGAAAGTGTGGTGAAGAAAGCAGATAGATGGTGCTATCGATCAGAATAGTGTCAAACTACAGCCCGTGGGCGGCCTGCCGGGGACATTTACCCAGCCCATTGGGTATTTTTGCCTTGTTTGTTTTTTTACTTCAAAATAAGAAATGTGCTGTGTGCATAGGAATTTGTTCATAGTTTTTTTTAAACTATAGTCCGGCCCTCCAACGGGTCTGAGGGACAGTGAAGTGGCCCCCTCTTTAAAAAGTTTGAGGAGCCCTGGTCTAGGAGCATTTCTTGCTTGTTCCATGTCAAAAAATTTCTTCCCTGCCCTTTTACATTTGATCTTACCCAAAAGGCCGAGAAGCGATCTTCCCTGGCCTTTTAAATATTTATGGTGGTCTTTTCTTTCTTACCCAGTATTTGTGTTTTTATCTCTTTTTCTTTCTTACCCAGTATTTGTGTTTTTATCTCTTTTTATCCTTATCATGCTATTTTTTTCTGTTTCTGTTAAGTTTTCCAGTTTGCGAAGCACAGAAAGAGTAGAGGCATAGAGATAAGAACTGATACAAGGTTCACAGGGGAAGTAGAGGTGGGAGTAGGAGATAGAAGGGTGAGGAGTTTGGGGGAGGAAATAATGTATGTGGGAGGGATCACTCTCTAGAACTGATAGTGATTATACAACTAATTTTAAAAGTGATTTAACCATGGGGCGGGAGAAAATGTTATAAAATTGATTGTGGCGATGATTGTGCAACTCTTCTTGTTATGATTGAACTATTGAATTGTGTGATATGTGGATTAAGTGCCAATAAAACTTTTTAAAACTATTACTTTTTTATACTATATTGTTTTACATTTTTTTTAGCTTTCTCTTTTCACTACCCATCAAGGATGGACTAGCTTACAGGTGGGTGTTATTGAGTGCCATTAAGTTGGCTCTAACTCATAGGACAGTGACTTTGAACAGAATGAATGTTGCTAGGCTTTGCCATCTTCACAGTCATGGTTTATTTGAGCACATTATTGCAGCCATGATGTCAGTGTAACTAATCGAGGGTCTCTACTTTCGGCGGATTCTAGTTTACCAATCATGATGTGTCAGGGGAGGGAGCCTCTAACAAATCATCACAGGTCCGGTAGGCACAATTGCACAGCAATAATAAGTAAAGATTATAATAAAGTCATAGAAAATATGAGAGATATAAGAGATTGAAATAATGGAGTCAGACACATTTCATGGTAGCATGCTCACCTCAGCTCCTCTTGGTGGTACAGGGCAGGAAAGAGAGATTTATTGCTAACCAAGGCTTATATATCTTTTAGCAATGTGCAAGCCTCCTAATTACAGGTAAAGGCATACGTCACAGGAAAGGGTTTTACTATAGGTAATACAGTAATGGGAGGGGGATGATCTAGGGATATACACGCAATAGGAAGGGGGATGTATTGGGGTACACATGTGACAAGATGGGCATTTTCTAGATTTAAGGAGGCAGCTTAATTTTGGATGTCATTGAGCGGTTTGACCAGTTCTCTGGCTCTCTGTTGAAACCATTAACAGTAGGGTGTGAACCTCACCTACAGGGACCAGACTGATGGCCGAGAATCTTCCGTAAGAAGTAATCCATGGTCCTTAACAGCAGGGAGTGGGCTCCTCTTGTGGTGGGACCAGACAGTAGTCTGGCAACTGAATGCCTTCAGGGAGGATATCTCTAAGCATCTGTCCTCCCACCGGGTGCTGCCAAATAGCCTCTAATGTTTGGCATATCTTTGGGGGAGACCAAGCCAGGGAAAGGTCTCTTTATAATCCCACAATGATTGATGTCTTTCTGCTAACCCTCTAATGCAGGGGTCCTCAAACTTTTTAAACAGGGGGACAGTTCACTGTCCCACAGACCTGTTGGAGGGCTGGACTATAGTTTGAAAAAAAAACTATGAACGAATTCCTATGCACACTGCACATATCTTGTTTTGAAGTAAAAAAACAAAAGGAGGAAAAACATCCGGTGGACCGTATAAATGTCGGGGGGCGGGGGGGGGGCACATGTGGCCTGCGGGCCATAGTTTGAGGAACCCTGCTCTAATGTATCAACCGTAATGTCTAATTCATGAAGCATTTGTATAAGATAAGATGACTTGTATAAGATAAGCAAAATAATCTTGCCATTCTTTTTTCCTCTAATGTGTAGTAAATAATTACTGTATATTATCACCCTAGCAGCATGCTTTGTTCTTGCAAGTTAAGTGAAAAATATTTAAGGGTAATGCAATCAATTATCTCCTAAGCATTGGATCCAATGATAGACCCCTGAGAAAACAAGATTTAGCAGATATGGAATTTGTCTACGTATAAGGCACAGGGTAAAGAGTTAAAATGGATGCTTGAAAAATGTAATGAGAGTACCTGTAAGAATATAGAGAATAAAAGAATTAGGGTACAAAGTGCTATTACAAGTGAGGTTTAAATAAAGATCTTTTTTGAGAGTATGAATTTCTTTACTTATTTATAAGTAAAAGAAGATAAGTAATGAATTGATGTAATAAACAATATCCAGCTGTGTCTAACAATTAAGAAGAGATTCTCATGATGCGATGACACTGGAGAGTCATGCAATACTGCTACGACATTCAAGAATTCCTTGTCTATATCACTGAAGATGATCCCTTCAGTGATTCTGAAGCCACTGCAGAAAAGGGAAGCAAATAGCTTATCCCTAGCCCACCATTCTCAGACTTGCCTGGTTTTACGTGCAGTTGGAATTGAATCCATCTCACAGAGACCCTGTTGGGGCAGACTAGAACCTTCTGGGCTATGAGTCCTCAGATTGGACTCAGTGACCACGAGTTTGGGTTTCAAATATTAACAGAGGCAGATTGTCAGGTCTTTCTTTTTGGGAGCTACTTTTCTGGGTTCAAACTGCTGACCTTTTCGCTAGCAACCTGGCTCTTTAACCATTGTTCAGCCCAGCGCTCCTCCCAGACAGGCCTGGGGGCTTGAGAGACTGTAGAGCGCATTACCCAAAAGACAAAGCTAGGAGAGGGAGGATTAGCCTGTAAAATGCTTCCTGTTTCCTCTCTCTCAGGATCTCAACCCTGCTGGTCAGATAAGGAGCTCAGGCTGCCACACAGGGGAAAACAGGGCAGTGCCGCTTAGACTGTTTTGGAAGGAAGTGGAAAAGCACTTTCTGTTTCTATTGAGTATTTAGTGCAGCTGCTCTCAGCCAAGTGAAAAATCCAAGCTTCAGAAGTAGAAGAGGGTGGGGGAAGACTCATCCCAGACTGGAGAAACATGGTCCCTGGGCAGGGGTGGGATAGGGTCTGCGACTGAAGCTGGTAGCACAGCGGGTTAAGCAGGCGGGCTGCCCACAGATTGGTTGGTGATTTGAAGCCACAAACTGTACATCAAGCAAAGATTGTTTCTGTAAAGATGAACAGACTCAGCAACTCGAAGGAGCAACTCGATTCTGTCTGATCGGTGGAACCAACAGCAGTGAAGTTTTCTACAAAGAAACCAAGCCTTTCCCACCAGCGGTTCTCAACCTTCCTAATGCCACCACCCTTTCACACAGTTCCTCATGTGCTGGTGACCCCCCCAGCCATAAAATTATCTTCGTTGCTACTTCTTCACTGTCATTTTGCTACTATTATGAATCGGGCGACCCCTGTGAAAGGGCCGTTCGACCCCCAAAGGGGTCGCGACCCACAGGTTGAGAACCGCGGCTTTCACGTTTCAGGGCTGCCTCTTCTCCAGACTCAATCGGCCCTTTGTTGGCTCTAGGCACAGGGAGACTGCCAGTTATTTTGTTCCCTCAGAGCAGGATCCGGACCACAAAGAAAACTCACCAAACAGACGCAACTTTTTCCTTTCCAAGTTTCCTACCTTTTGCCTCCACGAACCGAACCGTCTGCTCACCCTCCGTCCCGAGTGCAGCGCAGTGCAGGTTGGAATGGTGAGTGCAGGCCAGGGGCAGGCGTGGTCAGGAAGTGACTCGTCAAAGGAGGAGCCGGAGTCCCCGAGGAGAAGAGCTCAGAGAGAAGCGAAACTTAAATTCTTCCTGGCAGGACTCCAAGCAAGGCAGAACCAGAGGGAGACTGCCGCTAGAACTCACAGGGAGAGCTTGACTTGCGCAGTAGATGGTGGTGCCTTGGCCAGCCAGGCACCCTGAGGGAAACGGAGGGCCTGGACGAGAATGTCATGCAGCTCAATCATCCAGACTCTTCATTACGGATCCCCAAAGCCGACTCTGGTGGGGGAAGCCTCTCACGGTTATGAGCTATAAATACACATTCTCATGACCAGACACAGTTCCTCTAATAATCCCCCCATAAAGGAACTATCATAAAGAAGACTTCATATAAAATGAAGCATGTGTGTGTCTGTCTAATCTCTGTGCCTGGAGGTTGTCTGTAGATAAGAGCAATTAGGCTCTTTGTGTGTGGAGGTTGTCTGGAGAAAAGAGGCTCTCTTGCCAAACTTCATAAAAGATAGCAACCCCTTGGAGAGGGGTCAGAGGCCGTCAGGGTCCACTAGCACTAGGTTAACATGCTGACTCACCTCATTGCTGCTTTATTATGTTACCTGCTTAGATATTACCAGTGGGATACAGACCACGCCCTAGGTTGTCCTCCCATATTATATGCCAACCCTAAGATGCTGCTTGCTAGCACATGGTCAGTGACTACACACTTGGAGGTCAATTGCTTAAAGGTTATCTTCCTGAGGGTTATGAGCCCTCTAGAGGAATCAGACCCTGTACTGTAGTCTGTCCCCCCCTAGGGGGGGCCCACTCCCTTCTGATATGGATAATGGAGTGTTCGCTTGAAGGAGAGCCCAAAGACAAGGTCAAGCCAACTCAGAGAGGACCAAGGTTAGGCTGCCATCTTGAATCTAGGGTCCAAACATTTTGTCACATGTGCACCCCAGCTAATCCCCTTCCTGTCATACGTATGCCTATTGTACAACCCCTACCTGTTACGCATGTGGTTACCTGTAATTAGGGTGGACCCTAAGTGTATATAAGTGGTGACTGGAAATATATTCGTGCTCTCTGTGTGGATTTGGCTGCTGAGATCATAGGTGTCCGGAAGGTGAGCTGTCTCTTTAATTTTACCCCTCAATTACACAACTGTCCCTTAGACCTGTACTATTGTGGGGGCTGGTAGCCCACAATTACCTATTAACTATGTCATATGCAAGTTTGCATACCTTATGAAAGATCTGTAAGCCCCATTATATATAACCATTGGACAGTACATTCTCTCAGCCCTGACATGAGACGAGGAGGCCCTGTGCTCATCTGTTTTTCCACAATCACAAAGTCACTTTTGAGGACCCTTTTGAGTGTTGGGGACCCCCTCACCCCAACAGCACCCAGTGACTGCTTTCTTATCCCCAGCTAGTCATGCTGACCTCCATTTTGCCTGTAGAAATTTGAACCTCTTCTCAGGTCTAGTTTTTTGTGCCCCATCCCCAAAAGCTCCCTACCATCATTCAAGAGTCATTTGGTGAAACTTTTCAAAGACAGCTATTTTTAGCAAAGCAAAAATAACTTTCATCCTCTATTCCTTGTACCTTTAGGATTGAAAGCTGGGTAATTTTACGCTGTCTTTTAATATGTAGAACTGAACCATTTTACATCTCCTGTTTGCATTTTCATGCACTATTTTCCATTTTGTACTTACTCTACTGCCTTCTTGTTTTAATACAGTTGTATCAACCCCCAATTCTGTCTCTACAACCTCAAATCTCCCCTCAGGTTCAGAATTCTAGCTGCAGCCCCTCTTAAACTTGAAACCTTGCCCCCTACCATCATCTAGTTGTTTGGGGAATCTTTTCAAGAAGAATTATTTTTAATAAGTCAAGAATAACTGCCCCCTTCCCCCTCTCCAGCATCCTTGGGGAAAAGTTTGGTTACTTTACATCATCATCAAGAAAGTAAAATGAGAACATTTCCCATTTCTTGCCCAAACTTTCTGTGTTCCACTGTGTTAGTCTGGCTACATTAGAGAAACAAATCCACAGAAACTCAAGTATAAGAGAGAGTTTTCTATAAAGGTTAAGTGCACATCAAGAAAACATCCCAACTCAATGCTGCCCAAGCCCACAAGTCCAACATTAACCCATATGTCCAACATCAATCCACAAAGTCCTCCTCCATCTCACAAAACAGACAAAATGACACCGACTGCAGGAGGAAAGCTGAGTCAGTGAGCGTGTAAGTATCTCAGCGCTGGCAGGGACCTCCACATGGCTGCTCCAGCACCGGGGTAGGTCCATGTGGCTTCTCCTTGGGGATGTCTTGCAGTAAGTCAGCCTTGCCAGCTGAAGCAGGGAACTGGCTAAGGCAGCTGCACCCTGGTGTGACCATTACAAAGCAAGAGACCTGAGAACTGGAAAGGTGAGGCTCACTGAGCCATTTATCTCTCCCCCTTTCAATTAACCCCACATGTGTTTATTGGCCAGGTTGGCACAATAAACTAACTACCTCATCCACCTTGTTGTTGTTATTCTGACTTCATAGTCCAGATGGTACAACGGATACCCTATAACATGGACCCCTGAAATGCCACCCTGCTGCATATAAAATGAGCTCTATGAGAAACAGAAAATGGGATCTCATCACTGGCAAGAGTGAAGGGTAGATCATGTCATCTGGACCCAGCATCGTAACTACCTAGCCTGATCTTTGGTTCTTTGATTAACAGCACTCACTGCCATATGAATCATTTCCTCACACTTTTTTGAGTTTCTGTGGGACATCGCAATGGATTCAAATAACCCAGGAGCGTGAGGGAGGAAAGGTGAATAATATAGTAGAAGGATTGGACATTTGGGTATTATCAAGTCTGGCATTAATTCTTCTAAAAGAGATTATTCCCAGAGTAGATGATAAGGAACACAGCAGTCAAGATCCCCTCCCGTTTTCATGAAACAAACTTGTAGAGTTCAGGGAAAGATGGTGGGGATACTTCATGGTAGGTTCTTTCTATGACTACAAAGGGAATAGGTGAGAAACTGCATACAATTTGTATAAAATTGAGAAGAGTATCATTAAACTTGGACGTGGGTGATCATGGTACAAACGGTTTGTTTTCAACCACTAACCTAAAAAGTAACCGGAAGCCTCTCAGCAAAGAAAGACTTGGCGATCTGCATCTTCCAAGCTTACAACCAACAGAGCTCCTCGGAGCACACTTCCTGTGTGGTCCCTAGGGGTACCAATCGTCCATTGGGATGGACTCCATGTCGATACGGTTGGCTGTTTATTTATCATTAGACTTGAACCATGTCATGAGTGTCTTCCTTGGTAACACAACTTCACCCCCACGAAAGAAAAGGAAACTGCCCATCTAGGCGAGCTGTTATATTGCTTTCATCAATTCCTGCCACATAGATATGAGTCCGATATGGAAACCAGGATGAGCTGAGTAGCACTGCCAGAAGATCTGTGCATCAACAAGGACCTTCAACACCCTGGGGTGGGTCTCCATGTTAGCTAATGTGTTGTTTGATGGGGGTTATATTAAGTATCAATAGTGCAATGAAATATTACTTGATAACCTTCCACTTTTTAATAATACTCAAACATAATGTATTCTCCATCATTGGACTGTATCTTATTTAGGCACTTAGGACCTGAGGCATCTAACAGGATGGCTCCAGTAGGCATTGACCCCTACTAATCTTAATCAGGCAGGTTTATCCCAGGTTTATCCAGGCCACTCCAGAGGCAGATTTCTGCTCTCAGAGGTAACATGTCATTCCTTAAAGCCATTACAAGTGTTAATGAAGATAACCATTAAACAGAGAGTGGTTCAATTGATGCCCTCTACTAAACTCAGGACTTATTGGATCGTCCTATTCCTATTCATTTGCATATACTTCCCTCCCAAAATGGAACTATAGCCACAAGTGTAGAAAATCTAGAATTATATCACATTAGGGATTATGACTGGGCCATATTAATTATATCACATTAGGGATTATGGCCGGACCACTTTAACTCATAGATTATTTCACTGCTGTTGTGTGATGTTAATTTTCTTTTTTTTTAATTGTTTTATTAGGGGCTCATACAATCCTTATCACAACCCATACATACATCAATTGTGTAAAGCACATTTGTACATACATTGCTCTCATCATTCTCAAAACATTTGCTCTCCACTTAAGCCCCTGGCATCAGCTCCTCATTTTCCCCCTTTCCCCCTCTCCCCTCCCTCAATTAATTTTCAACTCATAATGATTTTCCTGTTATTCTTTCACCAACTTCTGAATTACAAAGTAGCCTCCGGTCTATTGCTACCTTAATTCTGTCAGTTCTGACACATTTATTCCCTTTATTCACCAAATGGGGTTTCTAACTCCCACATCCACCTGCTTCAATTCTTCCATGTGGACACATTCACCTTTTTCTAGCCTCCCCCTCCCCCACCCAAAATACACACATTTATCTTTCCTTTATGAATTGATCTTAACTCATCTCTCTATTTCTTTGGACCTATTAACTTTTTAGATAGAACACTGAATTTTTTCCCTCTTTTCTTTGAGACTTATAAGAAAAACCACATTTAAAAAAATCAATTATTCACTACAGGAGCCCTGGTGGCATAGTGGTGGTGCATTGAGTCGCTAACTGCAAAGTCAGCCATTGGAAACCACCCGCCATTTCTGTAGGAATAAGAGGAGGCTTTCTACTCCTGCCAAGAGTTAAGCTTCAGAAACCTACAGAGACAGGCCTGCTCTGTTGATATGAGCCAGACTTTACTTCTGTAAAGAGTTACAGTCTCAGAGAACTGCAGGAGGCAGTTCTACCCTGTTCTGCAGGGCCTCCATGGACCGGAATCGACTTGACGGCCGTGACTTTGCAAAAATAAAAGTGGCACAGGTGTGTCAAGGGACCAGTTTTGTTTTATTTTTAAACAGAAGCTAACAGGAAAAATGAAAACACTAAC